GCCGCTCTCTACTCTAATGCTGTCCATGGAGCCAGAAAGGCGGGAGGGAGGGAGGGAGCTGCGGCCGTGACATGTAAAATGTAATTATACAGTGCAGCTACCCCGAAGATAAGACCTAGCGCTATCAGGGATTTCTGTAATATAAGACCTACCACCGAACTAGGTCTTATTTTCGGGGTAGGTCTTATATTACAGAAATCCCTGAAGATAGCGCTAGGTCTTACTTTCGGGGTAGGTCTTACTTTCGGGGAAACATAATTTTTTTTTTTTTTTTACACTGTCATTGTTACATTTCCTGGCAGACATACTGCAGGTTATGCCCCTGTTAGAATACCTGAACAGTGACAGCAGCTTGCCGTCCTTGTTCGGCAGAAAATTTTCCATCCTATTTCTGATCGAAGGGTGCCGGATGGAAGGTGACGATAGGGCCCCCCACTGTCCGAATTTCAGCTGGTTCATCAAGAAGTGGCTGAAATTTGTATAGCGTATGCCCATCTTTACGCTGACCCATGCAGTAATTACTTTCCGCCACTAGATGTCCTCAGACTTTTAGGTTGAATGGAGGATGCCATCGTGGGATTCTTATTCTACAGTTGCTGGTTGCCTTGCTGTCATGCGTTTTTGCTTCATTGCTTTGCATCTCTGACAAAAAAAAAATGTATGGGAATACTGGACTTGTGATTTTTACTGTGACCATGGCAGCAGTTGTCTCCATACTTGCTTTATGTTGGTGATGCACCAGTTATTAATTCCAGTGGGCAACAGCCAGACAACTAGCTTTTTCAGAAGGAAGTCAGGAATGGCAGCCCCCATTGTGCTCTTTTGAAAGGTTTACTTTAAAATCTTCAACCAGATGAAGGATTAGTGATTTTATTGCATATTATGTTTTTTAATAGGAAACCTCTGCTGTTGATCTCTCTTGCTTGGCTACTCATACTGTTTCTTTATCTTAGTCTGTCTCGATATTTTAAGTTATTAACCGAGAAAAGGCAAGCGGCGGAATTCTGTCTTCGCTAGCTGGATATTTGTTCCAGGTCTTTGACTCAAAGTAGTGAACCCATTAGATTGTGGCAAAACCCAGGCAGTTCTACTTTTCATTAATAAGTCTGCAATGATAAACACATATTATCCATTGTTTTGTTTGTAAAGTCATATGGGCTATATGGATACTATATGGATACCTGGTCCTCACACCTACCTATATAGCCAAAATCATGTGGATACCTCTCCAAATGATTGCCTTCAGGTGTTTCCTGTGACAGTTACTGGTTCTGCTATGCCATACAAAGACATTGTAAACAATTGTGCACTTCCAACCTTTTAGCGACAGTTTGGGAAAGACTCTTTTCTATTCCAGCATGACTGTGCCCCCCTGCACACAAAACCAGCTCCAGAAAGACATGGTTTGATGAGTTTGGTGTGGAGAACCTGCACAGAGCTCTGACCTTAACCTTACTGAACACTTTTGGATGAATTGAAACTCTTATTATGAGTCGGGTCTTCTTGGCCAACAATTTTAAGAGTGTTTTTCCAGTGAAGAGTTCTGCTAATCCTACAGCATACAAAGACATTTTACACAATTGTGCACTTTGAACCTTTTGTTAACAGTTTGGTGAAGACCCTTTTTGGTTCCACCACCACTCTGCCCTGTGTACAAAGCTACCTCCATAATGACTTGGTTTGAGGAGTTTGGTGTGGAGGAACTTAAGTAACCTACACAGAGCCCTGACCTCAACCCTACTGAACACCTTTGAGATGAACCAGAATGCCTATTGCGAGCCGGGTCTTCTCACCCAACATCTCTACCCCACAAATCGTATGCCTGAATGGAGTCAAATTCCCACAGACACAGTCCAGAATCTTGTGGAAAGCCTTCCTAGAGGGGTGGAGGCTGTTGTAGCCACACCGGCGGGTAGGGATGCACAGATACCGGTATTGAGTACGAATACCGATTATTTATTTATTTTTTGCGGTACTCGCCGATACCGGAAGTCCAATTTAAGGAAGCCAGGCAGCGTGTAATGACTTGCCACCCGGCTTCCCGGTTAGCAGGGAAGCTGTCCCCATGCTTCTCGTCACTAGGTGGGGGGGTAATGACTCGCCACCCAGCTTCCTGATTGGCCAGCTTCCCGACCAATTGGGAAGCTGGGCGGCGAGTCATTACACACCACTCAGCTGGGAAGCCGGCTTCATGCTCCGGAGCCTCGTCACCAATTCCATGCTCCAAGGTGACAAGGGAGCATAGAGCCGATTTCCCGGGCAAATCGGAGCCGGGGGCGGGTAATGATTCGCCACTCGACTTCCTGATACTGGAAGTTCCGGTATTGGGATAGGCATTGGGAGCATTTGGGCGAGTACAAGTACTCCCCCAAATACTCCATTCCAGCACTAATACTAGTATTGGTATCTGTGCATCCCTACAGAAAACCTTTCATTTCATTTTTGATGGTGGGTAAGAGTCAGAATTTGTCAGGTTTACATTTCTGATTGGTCGGGAAGCTGGCCAATCAGGAAGCCGGGTGTCGTGTAATGACACAGCGCCTGGCTTCATGAGGTGACGAAGCATGATGCTGGCTTCCCGGCCAATCGGAAAGCTGTGCGCCGCGACCAATCGGAGCCGGGCAGCTTGTAATGACTCGCTGCCCGGCTTCCTGATACCAGAAGTATCAGGCTAGGCATCGGAGAATCTGAACGAGTACTCACCCAAATACTCGGCACCGATACTAGTATCAGTATTGGTGCATCCCTACAGGGGGGTGACAACTCCATATTGATGGTTTTTGAATGTGATGTCCATCAAGCTCGTATAGGTGTGCTGATCAGGAGTTCACAAACATTTGCCCATATAGTGTATTTGTTCAGAGTTATACCTGCTATACCATCCACTCATTAATACTCTTTATCACCTCTTACAGTTCTGCAGCACCAAAAAGACATTGAGCGCACAGATAGCTTTCGTGAGCAATTCGGTGTCGACTGGCTACAGTACCGAACTCACCTGGAGGACGAGCTCAGCCAAGGCCAAAACCGCAATGAAAGTCCCAGCAAACATGCCCAAACTTTCACAAAGAGCAAATCATCTCCCACAATACTGCTGACAGCTGGCAGAACGGACAGCGAGCCTCCTGTCCCTGTGAACCCCGGTCCAGCTAGGCCTCCCACCCCGGAGGTCAGCGCAGGCACTGCAGCCGCAGATCTGTTGATAGAAAAGATAGAGGATGTCCTGGAGGATGGAGTGTGGGAGCCACAGAAGATCAATAAGAAAGAGGCAGAAGAGACGGAGGAGGAGATTGTAGAAGGTAAGGTTGGCATGATCCTTAAAGAGATACGGTCACTTCACCCATTCATGATTGGATGATATAGGCACTGTATTGGCAGAAATAAAGCAGAAAACCAGGGATGCACTGCTATCAATTTTTCGGTATCGAGTACGAGTACCGATATATTTTGTTTTGCTACTCGCCGATACCGGAAGTCCCGTTAAGGAAGCCATCTCCATGCTCCCTCATCGCCAGGTGATGAGGAAGCATGGAGCTGGCTTTCTAGCCAATCAGGAAGCCGGAGAGGGTGGGGAGTAAGTAGATTAGCCAGCTTCCCAAGCAATCAGGAATCTGGGCAGCGAGTCATTACACAGCGCCCGGCTTCCTGATTGGCCTTAAAATCGGCTACGTGCTACAACGAGGTAGCATGGAGCCAATCAAGAAGCGGGGGGGGGGCAGGCTGTAATGACTCGCCTTCCTGATTGGCCAGCTTCCCGACCAATCGCTGGGTGGCGAGTCATTACACACCACTCGGCCGGCTCCATGCTTCAGAGCCTCGTCACCAGTTCCATGCTCCCAGGTGACAAGGGGGAGCATAGAGCCGATTTCCCGGGCCAATCGGAGCCGGGGGCGGGTAATGATTCGCCGCTCGACTTCCTGATACTGGAAGTTCCAGTATTGGGATAGGCATTGGGAGCATTTGGACAAGTACTCCCCCAAATACTCCATTCCAGCACCAATACTAGTATTGGTATCTGTGCATCCCTACAGAAAACTTTTTATTTCATTTTTGATGGTGGTTAAGAGTCAGGTTTACATTTCTTTCTGGGATCCCTTTAGCGATTTATTTTCCCTTATATCCCCTAACTTCCTGTCTTTGTGACTCCCATAAAATAATGAGGCCAAGTGGGTGTCACTGAGATAAGGACAGACGACAATTAAAACGTTGTCAGACGTTCTTTATCGTCTCAAATGTACTACAAATGTGTAATTCTTTTTGTCTGTGTCCCTCTTGCATAGATTTCCCTTCATTTCCTGTCCTGACAGGAGGTGAGGGGAAAACTCCACCAATAGGGAAACAGACAGCAATAAAACCTGACAGGGGTTCTAACCCTTCCAGTTCTATCCAACATTAAGTAAAATGTTTTGTCTGAAGTTGGGCTTTAAAGGAACACAATAGTCATTGTATTATTTTCTGTTGTATTGAATAACAGTGCCATCCACTATCTAGCTCATGCGAGCTCACTAAAATAAATTGAGCTGGAGTAACAGTCAGGTACAATGCTGCCCTACTCTTTATTTACCTGTATTCTCTCCCTGGCAGCGCAGAGGTTGTAAGGTCACAAAGTCATTTTGTTTCAGATCTACAAAAGAACTTTACAGAATGCATAATAATTTGTCTTCTCCCGGCTTCTATGTTTTTTCTTCCCCAGATGCCCTGTGTTTGCCAGTCACTGTGTGCCCTATTTTGGATGGCCAGCCGCGTAACTCCGACTGGCCATGGGTCTTCCTGCGTGTGACACGCCAGCACCTCTTGGAGATCGATCTAGAGCGCGGAAGGGTGCTGGTCCGGAGGGAGCTTCAAAGCCTGCGGGATATTCAGACCTCTTATACCCAGTGGAACTGGAATGTAAGCAGAGGAGGGCTGCTGCCGGCTGGGCTCGGGCTGTGGGTGGAGTTGTGTGGTGCACGGCAGCTAAGCGCCTGTTCTATCTTGCGAATAACAGGGAATTATGGGTAATGAAGACTCATGTAAAACCCAGTATGGTTTAGGGCTCATTCAGATGGGCGTACACATCCGCGCCCAAGTGCGGGCACGCGGACCCCCACAAATGTGCAGGTTCGGGTGTGCATGTGTCCACGTGTAATTGCGTGCAGTCATGTCCTGCCATGGACAAGAACAGGCTGCCAAGAACAATTGCACGCATTGTGTGATTTTTACAGGCGTGTATGCCATACGTATGTGCACGCCCGTCTGAATGAGCCCTTAGCATGATCTTCCTGCAGGGCACTAATGTAACTACATGTAACCAAATCTATGTTTTTACAAAAGATTATTTTTGCAGAGGACAAACCATGGCCAGGTATGGGGTGCACTGCTACCAAGCCAAAAATTGTGTCACCCTCATGGCAGATCAGTTACTGAATGCCAGCAGGGGGGTTTGTCCTATACTCGGAGTGCAGAAATGCCAAGGAAATGACTGTCGGCTCTCCGAAAGAAATATGAAACTGTAACTTTTTAAGGGCATACTGGGCCCTCCCCCTTAAAAAAATGAACAGAGGCTCCCAGTATGGGACCTTCTTCTTTAGTGAGGAAGTTCCAGGCAAGGGACTTCTGTTCATGTTGTCTGGATGAATAAAGTTACCAGGGTTCACATTTTTTGGGAATGCAGTCGGCCTTTTCCTTTTGGATTAGAGCAGAACCTATGGTCAGCTAGAGTACACCCTCCATGAAATTATTTTTCAAATCAATTAGAAGCTACAGCAACTCAGACCACGCCTCATTGCCTGACAGGAGGACATTCAGCATCATCTAGTCCTTTCCTCCACCTATCATGGAGGCTTCGCATCACACACAGGTATTACCTAGGGTGGTGTGTATGTGAATACAGGCTGGTAAGAACTTCCACTCCAAACTGACGACCACCCACCAAGGAAGTTTCATATTTGCATAACTCCTCCCAAGAGCCAGCCCACTGCTTGCATCAGGGCTGAGGGGTCCAGAGGCAGGCTGTTGCATTGTTTTCAGAAAGCTTTGTATAGCACCCTGCTGGCCCCTCCCTCCAGGCATGCTATGTCTGCATTGCATAGGGACCAGTGATGACGTCGCTAGGTCTGAAATACGGTATGAAATGAAAACGGTTTTTATTGAATAATTTGATCAGCATGTTGGTGAGGGAGGAACTAGAGAAGAGAAGGCAAAATATAATCAGAATAAACTTCAGCTTTAATTGCTAACGTTGCGGACACTGTAATATATGTGTGTGTGTGTATATATATATATATATATATACACACACACACACAAGTGTCGGGCACATAATTGAGATTTTGTGGTTCTGCTTTTTTTGCCTGTAGTTCGGATATAATTTTGATTTATTTCCTTCAGGGGGAGGAGCAAGAGTTTCCTGTGCTGGCACTGTACTTCCACTCGGTGTGTGAGGATAAGCAGTGTGCCCGCTACGTGGTATTGGACAAATCGCCGGAGATCTCTATAAAGGTGAGCCGTTGGACAATGCAGAAATATGCATGCAGTTTAACCCTTGCAGTGCACAAGAATACCCATCACAAGAATACCTTGATTTTTTTTTTTTTTTCTTTTTTAATTTTTTTTAATTCTGGGAGTTCTTCTTTAAACCCTTCTCTACTATATCTGAAACTATACATGCTATGCATGTACATAGACTTCAGTAAAGTGGTATACATTCCATACTAGGGATGCACCAATACCAGAATCGGTACCGGTACTAAAATTTCAAATTGAAGCGGCTGCCTTAGGTCACGCGCTTGCTGGGGACCTCGTGACAGCCTTCTTGGGAACCACGTGGTGCCGGTTTACAGCGCTCACGCTGCCCAGACATCTACCCCTCCTGAGATCCTCTGCACCCCTCTTGAGACCGTCCCTCCAAGACATCAGGCCAGCACCCCAGAACAGAGTGGCAACACAGAGTTTGTAGCAATATATTATTCTGCATTGCTGTATAATGTATTGCTGGGATTTGTACTCCTCTATAGCTGGTGCTATTCTGCATTGCTGTATAATGTATTGCTGGGATTTGTACTCCTCTATAGCTGGTGCTATTCTGCATTGCTGTATAATGTATTGCTGGGATTTGTACTCGTCTATAGCTGGTGCTATTCTGCATTGCTGTATAATGTATTGCTGGGATTTGTACTCCTCTATAGCTCATGCTATTCTGCATTGCTGTATAATGTAGTGCTGGGATTTGTAGTCCTCTATAGCTGGTGCTATTCTGTATTGCTGGGATTTGTACTCGTCTATAGCTGGTGCTATTCTGCATTGCTGTATAATGTATTGCTGGGATTTGTACTCGTCTATAGCTGGTGCTATTCTGCATTGCTGTATAATGTATTGCTGGGATTTGTACTCGTCTATAGCTGGTGCTATTCTGCATTGCTGTATAATGTAGTGCTGTACAGCTTGGAGTCATTGGCAGAACTACCAAGGTTGCAGCGGTTGCAGCTGTGACTGGGCCCTAGCGCTCCACCACTGTCCTAAAATCATTAGTCTGAATTGTTTAGAAAAACGGTCACATGACACAAAAAAATTGGTATCAGCGTGCACTTAAAGAAAAGTATCAGTACTCGGTCTGGATAAAATGGTATCGGTGCAACCCTAGTCCATAGAATCTATTTATAGAAGTTTCCGGCTTTTATGATTTTTATCGCGTTCACTAAAACTTTTTTTTTCTTGTGCAAACATAACCTTCCACCATAACCGGGGCCCAGTCCTCCTGTGTGTCAGATCGTCATGATCCCTTACCCTCCAATTCACAATAAAGATGCGTGCCAGCAAACGAAGATCTGCAGATACGTCCTGTTTAAACTTGATGTCACTCAGTAAATAACGTGAAGTGTAAAGACATGTTTACCTGGCAGAACAAAGCTGGTGACCTCTTGTTGGTCGGCGATGAGCTATGCCGCACAAGCAGCTACACGTCCGTCCTCCTCCTCCACCGCTGGAAGAACAGTCAGGGCGGTATGTGAAGTTCAATGCTGCACGTCCTCCTGTGCCAGGGTGCATTCTTCCAGCCCGATGGCCGGTCCTGACATGTCACCCTGTGTCCGTGTGTACAGTTAATAGTCCTAAACGCTGACCTTTCAACCCGGTTTCTGAACACATCACAATGTCAGTTTTTAGGTGGTTTGCTGGCGGCCGTATGCGGAGTATCCTACATCCCTCAAAGTAGCACTGAACTCTCAAACAATGTTTCAATAATCAATCCAGATCAGACAAATATGCATCACCCAGCAGAGTATTTCTTTACATGTTTGCCCAAGCACTTACAGCCATCATGTTTCCCAACGGCTCCAACTCTCTCAGCTCGGCTTCCCTGAACTTCCTGTCCAGTACAAGATCACGAGGGATAGATCAGTCTCCAGCCGATGTCCATCTGCTTGCTTGGGGAAGGGAGGAAGGAAGAGCAGGCTGCAGGGGAGAGTCTTGCCTTGTGTAGAGACGCGACTTACTGGCACAAACAAGGGTAGCTCCAGAGGACCCTGCAAGGCAACGGAGACTCCGTAAGGGCTCAGTCACACCATATCCAGTGCGTTTTGGTGTGGTTTGAGCACATGGTATCGCATTGATCATGATGTGCCGCGTTCTGGGGCGGGAAGGGGCATGGCGAGGTACAGGAATGCCCTCAGCTCCGGTGCAGTGCGATCGGGAAAAATGCATGCACTATTTTTTCCAATCGCACTGCATCGGAAAGGAGGGCATTGGCACTTTCGATTCTCTCAGCCTCAAGGGTGGGTGCACCCAAAAGTGGCGTCTCCTGCGAACTCGCTGTCTCAGGATGGCAATAGTCATCAGAAAGGACGTGCCTGCATACAAATAAAACATGTCTGTTCACCAGCTTACTCACCCAAACAAAGGGGAAGTGCTACGAAATGAAGTGGGAAGTAACCTCAGAGAATAATCTGCATAATGACACCTGGCCAACACCTGTCATTATGCATCAAGTAAACGCATCAAAAAACACATCATAAATGCACCGCAACGCTTGCAGATCTGGTCCAGACATGGTGTGAATGGGTCCTCAAACAGGATATCAGGACCAGTGCATAGGGGACCAGCTGATTGTGCAGGAACAGCCCTCTGCGAATTAAGCAGTGACTTCTTACCTGTCCCGCTGCATGTGCCCCTGATCTCAACTTCTATAATGATTCAAGCTGAAAAATCATAAATTATACTGCACTTCCGAGAGTGTCGGATGCTGGCATACCCCATTGTCTTTTATAGCGCCCTCTGTGGGCCCCTGCTTTGCTGCAGGACACAAGGGCCACTGGAAGGAACCACGAAGAGCGGCTGGGGGGTGGGAACCAGGCATCCAACACAGTGTGTCAGTTGAAGATCTTTCAGCACGCTCAGACCTGCAATGAAGCATGCAGACCTTCAGTAGTGTGGGCAGCACATCAGTGTGACCTATAGGTACACAATGTAATAGCTCCAAACTATGTGCTCACCAAAAACACAACAAGGGAAACTTACAATGAATGGAGCGGACAGAATCTGGAGCAGCTGTGTGAAGGCGACCAATCAACTTGTAGCTGTCAGTTTCAAAGCTTAACTGAACAAGCTGAAGCTAGAAGCTGATTGGTTGGCGTGCACATCTGCTCCAGATTCAGGCTGCTCCAGTTTTAGTAAATGCCCCCCCCCTCCCCCACCATATTGTGCTTTCTGCTGCGGCGTCTCAGTATACCGCGAGCTACAGCTCGCGATATACTGAGCCTAGGGTGATAGGAGGACGCTAATTTGTGTCCTCCCGTTACCCTAAGGAGAACTATGGGGAAAAGCCTTAACCCCATAGTTCTCCTTTAATGCTTTATACTGCCGCTGCCGTATGACATGGCAGGATGTACACAAACTCACCATTGCACTAGCAGCTGCGGTTGGTAAACATTGGCTTCGAACTCTACAATAAAAGTGGTTTGGGCAGCTGTGAAACCCAAGGCATGTCCTCGATGTGGTCGGGTAGAGTGCACAGGAGGCATTAGGGGTCCAAGAAGACCCCTGATGCCTTTCTAAAGGTCACTCCGTATATGCCATCACATAGAAGGCTTGTCACCTCCCCTTCTGATATCAATACAGTTAAGTGGTAAAAATGGGAAAGTTTTTTTAAAAAAATTTTAAATGAATAGAATAAAATGTTTTTAAAGCATCCCCACCCCCACATGCACACACATACAAGCACAAGCGCTAGTGTATCAACACGGGTACGTAAACCAACAATTGGGCAACACATTTTAGGTATTGTGACATGTTCAAAAGTAAGCGTAATAATTCTGAGGCCGATATTTACAGTTAACTCCGCACTGATGAGCTGTAAAGGTTTTTAGACCTTTGCCTATGAAAAATGTTGGTTATTGTAGTTTGCATTTCAGCATGTAAAAGAAAAAAAAAAAAGCAGTGAAAATGAACGTGCTTCGTATATTTTCTTTTCAGGTTGAATGTAATGTAATACTGCATTATGACCACTAGATGGCACTAATGAGCACAGTAAATACATACTACTTTATAAATGTAATACCACATTATGGCCACTAGATGGAGCTTAGGAGCATAGGAAATACTTATTTCCTATCTTTAGGTTCATCTAGTGCCCTTAATGCCGTATTAAGTCACATTCGGCCTGAAAAGTCTTTGCCTCTTTTTGCACAGAATGAACTTTCAGAGATTCGTGGGGCGAATTGCTCTGTGAACAGTATATGAATAGACCACTGAGTGTAATCCATTGTCCTCAGGCATGACCCTGATTTAGGCCTGCACAGTACTAAGACAGGTAGGAGTAATAGTCTAACACAGGTCCTCATTTTGAAATTCTGCCATAAATATAACCCCATAGTTTTTGTTTTGTTTTTCATTATGTTATAGGATAGGTGCAAGCGAGTGTTAATGACGTCCTTTACTAAGACTTTCATCACTTTCATTGAAGCTCATATTCCCCTTTTTCCACACAGACACTGCTGGACGTGTTGTATCCCGTTCTGGAAGACAATTTGAGACTGACGGCCGAGGGGGAAGAAGGTCCTCCCAAACTGCAGTGTCTCAAGTGCAAAAGTGAATTCATCCACCAGGAAGACAGCGGTGTCGTCTTCAGCTCCGAGGGGGAGGGGCAAACGCAGGACAAGATGTCACATGGTCTGCACAATAACCACTCGGGTAAATATGGGACAGCAATGCATCTGCTCACATCGGGGTGAAGGATGTACATCTGACGTGCGTATGAGAAAACTGTGTGTTATATGAATTTATATTAGGGATGCACCGTTACCGTTTTTTCGGTATTGAGTAAGAGTACCGGTATTTTTTATTTTTTTCTGTACTCGCCAATACCGATACTGGAAGCCCCATTAAGGAAGCCAGGTGGCGTGTAATGACTCTCCGCACGTCTTCCTGATCAGCCGGGAAGCCTTCTCCATGCTCTCATGTCACCAGATGACAAGGAATCGTGGAGCCGGCTTTCTGGCCAATCAGGAAGCTGAGGGGTGGGTAATGTCTCTCTGCCCGGCTTCCTGATTGGCCAGCTTCCCGATCAATCAGGCAGCTGGGCGGCGAGTGACGAGAAAGCATGGAGCCAGCTTTCTGGACAATCGGGAAGCCAGGGTCGGGTAATGGCTCGCTTGCCCATCTTCCCGTTTGGCCAGGAAGCCGGCTCCATGCTCCCTCGTCACCAGGGAGCATGGAGTTGGCTTTCCAGCTAATTAGGAAGTCATTACCCGCCCCCGGTCTTCCTAAATGGCCAGGAAGCCAGCTCCATGCTCCCTGGTGAAGAGGGAGCATGGAGCCGGCTTCCTGGCCAATCAGGATGCCGGGCGGCGTGTAATGATTTACCGCCCAGCGTTCTAAAACCGCAAGTCCCAGTATCGGGCTAGGCATCGGTAGCATTTGGGCGAGTAGAAGTACTCGCCCACATAATCAGTATCGGCACTGATACCGATACTAGTATCGGTTTCGGTGCATCCTTCATTTATATAGCGGCAAAATGTCCCGCTGAGCTTTGCTGTGTACATTCGGCCATTTTACATCAGTCCCTACACTAGTAGAGCATCCACACTATTGCCCCCACCCCCGAGGATTCTAATCTCAAAGCCTCCAATGACAATCTCTGCCCCCTCCCAAGAGCCAGCCCACTGCTTCCATCAGGGCTGAGGGCTCTTGAGAGGAGTACTAAGGAAGGATGCTATAAACAGCACCCTGCTGGCTCCTCCCACTAGCCATAATGTGCCTGCAATGCATCGAGAAGCACAGAAACCCAATGATGACATCATGAAGATAGAAAGGTTTTATATAAAATGCTATTAGCATGTTGGAGAGGAGGAAACGGGAGGCGAGATATAATCAGATTCTCTGCTGCTACATGGCACAAAGAAAGTTTGTTCTGAATCCACCTGGTGAACCAGCAATTATTTTTAATAGCAATGATCCACTAATAATACATTGTGATCTTTTACGTTTCTTATCTCCCATCATGTAATTGCGACGGTTCCAGGTTTTTATCACATGTGAATATGGGGCGGCCTTGGCGAAAAGTAACATAATCTATTTATCTGCAGGCTTGGAAATGACGACAGGTTCAGCATTGTTCTCTGTGTACCCGCAGATCACAGCGGCTGCCCGTCCTGCGGGAGCCTCCACGTCATCCTGGCCCTGGCACAACAGAACGGCTACTCCAGCACACCGACCCAATCCAGCCCCAGCGAGCAGCCACCACAGGGCACCCAGGGCGAGGGGCAGAAGTCCTTCTATCTTGGAGAAGATGAAAGAGACGGGTCAGAAGCGGGCAGCAGCTGTCCGGATGGCAGCGACAGCGTATTGTACGGCACGGCCACGCCGGATGCCAACGTTAGCGGCCTGACCGGAAGTTACAAATATCACAATACGACCCCTCCGGTCAGACAGGACAGCATAGTGCTCCAGGACAACTGGCAGATTAGCCCGAGTGAGTACTTCAAAACTTTACAGGGGTGTGTAATGTATTGTGGGATTGTAAAGCAATGCAGGAGCAGTAATGATGTGTGAAGTGTGGCCACTTTCATTCTAAAATCCACTAAGGGCCACAAAAGCAGAGTGAGAGGCCCTTGTGTGACCCCCAAAGCTCCAGTTTGATGTCCCTGCACCAGGGACGTGCGGTCAGGGGAGGCAGAGCCTCACCTAGAGTTATGGAGGAAAAAGCTGTCAGCTTCATGCCTGAAGCTGACAGCTTTTTCTCTATTCAGATCGGCATCTAACAGGTTACACAGCAGGGAAATCCTCCCCGATGTGTAACCGGTCATGGACAGGGCGCCTCAGCAGGGAGGCTCCTCCCTTCCTCCTTTACACTAGCCTGAGGCTTTGTCCGATGGGGGCAGAGATTTGCCCGACTGGGGCGGGGAGTGGTGCTTCGGGGGCGGGGCTGGGGAATGCCTCACCCGGAGCAAGAGGTACTGCACGTCACTGCCCTGCAAGAGAGAAATCTGGGACATGTCTCATCTGCTAAGCACGTTTCCTGTGAACTACATGAGAGGTCCTCCGGGGGTTCCGGTATGCAGGGAATATTTTACTTTTAAAGCCTCCGTTGGACTGAGGACAGTGTGCGGGTAATCATCTGTTTCTGAAGCAGTTTGGGTTTCTAAATAAGGTTAGAGAATCACCTGCACCCCGTACAGCGCTTGAACCAAACAAAATATCCATTGGTGCTCGAAATGACGACACGGGTGGCGCCGTGCTACTATCCAAGTAAACATAGTAGTCACTAACACTCACTTGTAATGTGCCAAAAGGATGGCACTTTTATTGATATGTCGCATGCGTCAAGAAGCCAACGTTTCGGGGCCGCGCAGGGTCCCTTCATCAGGGCTACAACCTGACGACAAAGTCACTTTTACTTGCTTCGTATAAGACAGATTTGATTTTCCCAACCAAGGTGAGGGGGGTCATGGAAGGAGACATTGAACTTTTGTATCAATGCCAAGGTTGCTATGGTCTGTGTGTAGCAAAATCATAGCAGATTGCCCAAGAGCCTGTGGCTCTACAAGTAGCCTGCGCGTGTTTTTAGGTTGCCATGCTCATCAGGTCACGTTATCGCCCTGATGAAGGGACCTTGTGCGGCCCCGAAACGTTGGCTTCTTGATGCATGTGACGTATCAAAAAACGTGCTATCCTTTTGGCACATTACAAGTGCGTTCTGGTGACTTCTATCTTTACTCAGTTTGGGTTTCTGACACCTATACATTGATCTCTCGTCATGTCGTATTTCATTGTATTATAGTCAGCTTAGGTGAGAGGAGGTTTTTGATTGGTTGTTGTGGTTTTCCATCTTTTGCAGGCCTCATAATCTTCATTATCATTGTGTTAGAACTTGCTTGCTTTGCAGAATAGTAGCACTGTATATATTTTTGTATCCAATACATTCTCACTTCCCTCTGTGTCTCTCCAGCCTCTGTCAGCCCAAACCAGACTCTGGATTTCCGGCTAGTGGATCACCGTCTCAAGCTGTATCTCGATATGGAGATCCTGGGTGGGGAGATGGAGGAATTCCAATGTTATATGAAGGTGAGACCATGTTTTGGGGAGGCAAGGTCGGGTTTTGCCTCTCTCCATGACCAGTTGTGCCAAATAAGGTGTCAGCAGCTTATGGGCCTCTAGTTCCTTTGGAGCTAACTAGGGATGCACCGATACCGAGTACTCACCCAAATGCTCGGATACTTACCCCCCCGATACCAGAACTTCCGGTCATAGGGAGATTTCCTCTGACCGGTAGTGCTGCGAGGGATCATGGAGCCGGCTTCCGGGCCCTGGGTAATGATTTGCAAGCCAGCTTCCTGATTGTCTGGGAAGCTGGCTCTATGCTGTTTGGCTGTCTCGATGCTGATTTGGCCGGGAAGCCGGCTCCATGCTGATTAGGGGGGAAGCCAGTTTCCTGGCCAATCAGCAGGGAGCTGGCTTGATGGGCAATCAAGAAGCCGGGCGGCAGGTAATGACGTTGCCCGGCTTCCTGATTGCCCAGGAAGCTGGCTCCATGCTAGCGGAAGTACCACTATCGGTACTTGGTATCAGTGAGTACTGAAATATGAATATCGGTATCGTACTCGATAATGAAAAAACGGTTTTGGTGCATCCCTAAAACAAACGTCAAACACGCCTATCTAGCAGGACTTAACAGGTTTAATTGATATGAAAGGTGTGACAGCCTTTTCCTTCTCATAGGTTGGTACTTGGAGCTGTCTGATCACTCCTCTCTTCTCTCTCTATCTCTCTCTTTGGTTGAACATGTATGCTCAGGAAAGCTAAGTGTACATGTTTATGTGAAAACTGGCCAATAGACATCACGCATGTACAATCAAATGTCCTCGTGCGTCTTTGGCCTCTTTTTTACTACCGTGTTTCCCCGAAAATAAGACACTGTCATATTTTTTTTGGCTCAAAAAAACACACACTAGGTCTTATTTTTGGGGTAGGTCTTATTTTCGGGTTAGGTCTTATTTTTTTTTTTTTATGTACAACAATCCAAAGTTAATCCAAATGGAAAAAATCCAAAATGGCAGAGTTAAGAATAGGGTGATCGGGGCAATCAGGGGTGCCGTACCTTTCCAAGAGCAATTTAGTAACCAGAAAAAGCGAAGCGCACTTTCACTATAGATTCCTCACAGGCGGAGCGCATTTGGTATCACTCCGCCTGCGACAGGAGTCGGTGCTATAGAGGGAACATCAGCTTATGTGGCTCTGCTCCCTCCGCTGCCGCCTCGCTTCCTCTAGCGCTGGCTTCATTGGCACCGCTGATTCTCTCCCGCCTTCAGGTTCCCCCTTATGCCACCACCAGCCCTGGCAATGGTCACAACTAGGTCTTATTTTCGGGGTAGGTCTTATATTTTAGCAATTCCCAAAAATAGTACTAGGTCTTATTTTCGGGGAAACAGGGTAGCGGGTGACCGGTTGTGGTTTTGCTCTTTCAATTAACCCATCATTGTTCTTCTTCCTGTTTGGCTCAGGTACCTGTGGTTCGCTTTGGTAAAGAGGGGGAGTTTTGGGCTCTTGTGGTGGTTTCCAATCAGAAAATCTACTTTTTGGAGATAACTGGAGACACCAGGTACCTAACTGAATTCACACGGAGGGCAGGGTGGGACATTGTCCCTTTTGATGGTGCTGGTTATATATAATAGGCTTGACATTGATATGTTCATCAACAGCGATCCTCCGTGTGATTGGCTGCGGCTCGGAGAGGAACAGAGCCTGACATCTCTCACCCACCTACACGTCGGACTGCAGAAACAGACTTTACATTTGGGATTCGGCACCCCAGAGGCGGCCTACACCCTGCTGACCAGGAACTGTTACTTCAGCACAACGTTCAGCCAGCACATTCTGGGTGAGAACAAGCAGGAAATTCTTAGTTTTTATTCTTTTAAGTTTCGATCCATCAGGTAAAATGGACCTTGTTCTGTCCAAAGCGGGTCTTTATAGAGATCCTGTCCCCAGACCATTCATTTCAAGAAAAATCTCAGCACCACCACACTCAGAGCGGTCACTTTATAGCAGGCGTACTTAGTTAAAATGAAACATTTTCACTGAGCAGAGGTCTGATCGCACTCAGTCCGTGTCATACTGCCGTCCTCCATTTGCTGGTGTGTGTTCCCAGACACAGTGCTATTTTTTTTTGTTAGATTTCCCCTCCTGTTTACATATGCATGAATGCCCTATGTGCACATGTTGGTTTTAAATTTGTTTTAATTATTTTATTTTTTACTTGTTTTCACTTTTGCGATCGCAAAGCAGCTAATAAGCCTCTATGTGACATCATTCAGAGGTGACAGGTTCTTTCTATACAGACATCAGGGGTCCATTAGACCCCTGATGTGTCTCCTGCCCTCCAATACAGATGATCAAGCACAGGAATGTGCTCAATCGCTTGTGTAACCGGCACTTTAGCTCGCTTTTAACAGCTCTGAAGCAGGAAGCGCCTAATGCTTCAGTGATCACACAGCAGATTGGCGAATGGACACCAGCGGTCCTCCACTAAAGGGTGTGGCCACTGAGGGGTGTGGCCACTGAGGGGCGCTGTAAAGCTTTCTCGCACAGGGCGCCTAAAGGCCTAAGGCCGGCCCTGGGTCCTAGCAACCAATGATTGAAGTGGATGAAGGGCCTGCGCTGGGTTATGGCTGGCAGTGGCTTCACCGGCCTCGGAGGCCGGTGTATCCACTGTCAGCTTGCCATAACCGAGCGCAAGTCAGCGATCATGTTCCAGACAGAGCAGATCGGCGAACAGACACCAGCGGTCCTACAGCCCAATGATTGAAGCGGATGAAGGGCCTACGTTAGGTTATGGCTGGCAGTGGCTTCACCGGCCTCGGAGGCCAGTGTATCCACTGTCAGCCTGCCATAACCCAGCGCAAGTCGCCGAACATGTTCCAAACAGATCCACCACTTGGTCCATGTCTAGACCGCAGTCTGACATTTAGGCACCCCTGCTCTATAGTAGTGAGGGGAAGATTGGAGGAGCTGATCCAGCACAGACAGTAATAGATCTAGTTGACAATCTTGTCAGTGTGTGGTAAGGAAACCACATCACCAACTTTTTGAAAAAAAAACTGCAGGTAAAGCACAGAAAAATCATGTATTTAAAGGCTTATTTGCATTTTTCCATACGAAAAAAAAAAAAATTTGTGTGCCCTTTGAACTTGCTAGATAATTGGACTACTCCAGGAAGAGTCCGTTCCCCTAGCCCACCCACCTCACTCCTTACATGCCATAGCCGTCTCCTCCTCTGGGAGTGTATTCACCTGCATGTCTGAAAAAGACAAACTATACATTCCTTTTAAACACCTGAAATATGTGGAGCGCTACAGTGGGGCAAAAAAGTATTTGCCCCACTGTAGCGCACTGCAGTGGACAGGTGTCTTTTATACTGATAACAAGTTCAAACAGGTGCCATTGATACAGGTAATGAGTGCAGGACAGAGGAGCCTCTTAAAGAAGAAGGTACAGGTCTGTGAGAGCCAGAACTCTTGCTTGTTTGTAGGTGACTGTAGAATGTGCTCTGATTTGGGGGTGCCAAATACTTATTTTCCACCATAATTTGCAAATTTGTTCCAAATCAGCCAATGTGATTTGTCTGGATCTGTTTTCTCATTTTGTCTCTCATAGTTGAGGTCTACCTATGATGCCAATTACAGGCCTCTCAGCTTTTTAAGTGGGAGAACTTGCACAATTGGTGGCTGACTAAATACTTTTTTGCCCCACTGTATATCATGGGTTTTACATTTCAGATACTCTGTCTGAGCTTCCTCCGCGTTATCGCAGAGCTGTGGACTACAGCGTTGAGGAAGGAGTCACGCAGGGTCATCGCCTATGGTAAGAAAAACTTTCACATTGTCTAAACTTGTGATGTCTTATTCATGCATAATTGAGGATATAGTTAACATACCATGTCCTCAATTATCTACAAACACTCAGCGATCACTGTGTGTGTGTACCTTGCTCTTCTCTCTGACACGCTCTCACAGGAGGCTGAGCGAGTCATACCATGTGACAACGCTGCTCCTCCATAGATCAAATACAATGAGTAAATGTCATCACCCTAGGACAGAAAGTGTGTTGCGGTGTTACCCAGTGAAAATAAAGGTCCTGTTGACTCGGTAAAAAAATTGACCACTGTGTGGCCCCCTCAGGAACACCCCCCTTTCGACAAGTCATTTTTAAAATTGACTTTTGTTAAAGAAGCTGGTCTGGAAATTCTCAGCCGAACAGGGACTACAGCCAGTCAGAACTTTTTGTGTATTCTGACAGCGGCACATGCATTGGCAGGGCGCGATTCCCCCAGCCGTGCTGTTCAGTGTGGGTGGAGGAAGTGGCCTTTTTTTTCTCTTGTTCGGCCCACTGAGAAAAAAATGATCAGTGTATGGCCATCCTAATGCAGCCGACCGGCAAGGGTCAATATATAAAATGTTGCTTTTTGGATTCAGATGCACTTTAAAATATAAACAGTCATAGATCAGATTTATTACAATACGTTGATTTGTGTTCACATTTGTATCTATAAATAAGTAAAACTTTAGTTCGGCTTTAAGGTCAGGTTTGTGTGATATCTGAATTGGCTCCTGGTATAGTCTCCCCTTCCTGTTATCGGAGTCACACCTGCCTTACAGCCCTCGTATCTCTTCTCTGCCGCAGGCATCTCCTACATGATAACCTTGGAGCAGGCAGCTGCAGCCCGGATGAATATCGCTATGTGCTGGCCTATTACTTGCGAGGTAAGACTTTATCATTCAAGGTCTCTACACCTGTCAGATGTCATCTGGAACATCTTTACTTCGGCCTCCCTCACTACAGAGCAAACAGGAGGATCATGTTTAAATGAAGATTACCCATGTGTATTAATTAAGCTTTGGCTGTTAAGACAAAGACACGGAGCCTGAAATGTGTGGTGACTCTAAAAACCCCATCATACATCTGCCTATAGGTGTCATGCCTGTGGCTGCCAGAGTCTTGCAATGCCTCATGGGACTTGTAGTTGCACCACAGCTGGAGGGCCGGAGTTTGCCTACCCCTGTCTTAGAGGATTAGGTGCTGGCAGCAGAAATCAGGCTTGCAGTGTGGGGAAGAGGTCTTTAAAGAAGAAAGCTCCAGACGAGCATTAGGCCCCATGCACACCAGGGTGTATTGTGACCACACGTCAAATATGCACAAAAGTATGCACTTTCATGCGCGTTCAGGATACATGCACGAGCGCGCTTACGTTGCCATTACTAGGTAATGCCACCCCAAACGTGGCCAGGCAAACATGGTTTTTCTCCGTGTGTTTGTGCGCCTGATATCGTGCATGAACGCTTGGAAAAAAACCGCAGAACGCATGTCGGCAAAAAAACATGTCCCTGCTACGCCCTGGTATAAACGGGGCCTTAGGGATGAGCTCGGGTTTTGGTGAGCCCAGTCAGCTGCAGCCGTGGCATTCATCCTCCCTGCAGCCGCATGTAAACAATGGGGCAGGATGCTGGTGACATCACTGACCATATTTGGTTAAAGAAGAACTCCAGGAAATGTAAAAATGAATCCTTTCAATGGGGCTACGCACTCGTTTTGTTGTAGGGGCTAAAATAAAGGTGATATACTCGCCTGACCCTCGGTTCCGTTTGACTGCTAGACCAGTCATTGCAGCCTCTTCTTCCCCGTCTAAGGACTTGTGACGTCATCACGTCTAATGCAGCATGAGGATGTGGAGGGACATTCCATCACAGAGTGAAAGGGGGAAAGAGGTGAGTGCTCACCGCTGCAGTACAGAGGATTGGGTGAGTATATCATCCTTATTTCCCCCCCCTAGACCAAAGCGAGCAGTTAACCCTTGCAGTGCTTGCGGGAGCCCTACTGCCACAGTTAATTTTTACATTACCTGGCGTTCTTCTTTAGGGCTTGTTCACACCAGCAGCCGCTCTCAACCGCACGGCTGCTGGTGTGTGTGCCCGGACAGTGCTTATGTGCTTGCCGAACTGCATCAAACAAATGACATTTCATTATGTTCTATGGGCCTACCACAGTGCGATGCGGTAGTACTCCTTAATGGTATTGACCAATAGTAAGCATCACCCGTGTTACAACAATTCCTATACTCTTCAAATTGTTTGTTTTCGTTTTGGATAGAGTGGTCAAGGACTAGAACCCCTGACTGGTTTTACTGGTATCCAGAGCTCCGTTACAGATATTTCCCCATACTCTCTGTCCCAGTAAGAGAATGACACAGACAGCAATATTGGGGTTCTAACCTTCCCCTAATCTGTTGAAAACAGTTTTTATTTCCATGAGTGTTGCTGTTTGAGATTTCCTCTTCCTGTCCAGTGAAACTATTTCCCTGGGACAGTAATTCATCGGATTTCACTGCTTATTGATTATACACAATATAAAGGAGTAAAATTAATATTGGGTTATTGAACAGTCAACACTTTTCTCTTTGTCCTATGAAATGACTTCTGTATCTCACCGGCTCTGCTCTCTCTTTCAGAGGAAGTCACAACTGATAAACCTGCAGGTTCCTGTGCGAATGTAGTCCTTCAGAATACAGCATCCCCTGCAGCACGGGCACAGGGCGCTGCCAACGCCAAATCAGTCTCTTTGCTGCTCACCCGTACTCATATGTACATCCTAGAAGAGACTCATCAATGGCTTCACAATGCCCCACCTGCTGAGGAGGACGCGGATGAGGAGCCCGCGGATGAAGTGCAGATCAAGGAGAAGCAGCCCATCAGCAGCATCAGCTCTGTGCACTTGTACAGTTCTGCAGCACTGCATCTGCGCATCCAGCTTTATAATGAGGTACGGGGGCCACTGAGATCTGGGGCGCACAGCATTGACTCCTGAAATCAAAAGACATTCACATGTCACCATTCTAATGCAAAATTCTAAAGCAAACCTGTACTGAGAGAATTATGGCAGCTGCAATTTCTGACTTCCTGAGATACTAATTGCCTGACTGTCTCTGGCTCCGGTACTTCGAGTCACTGACCCAGAACAACCGTGCAGACTAGAAAGTCAGAACTAGTTATTAGGTGACTTGTTCAGTGATGCAGAAAAGCCGGGATAGGTCATCAGTGGCAGCCTACATATTCTCCCAGTACAGACTGCCTTTGAACAACAGGTTCACTTAATGGTGACTGGCAGCAATGGGGACCCCCCCCAGTATCTCCAGCACCCCAACCCCCCCTCCCCCCTTTCAGGATGCTCCATTTACCAGCAGGTTTTTTTTGACAACGCTGCTCCTCCATAGATCAAATACAATGAGTAAATGTCATCACCCTAGGACAGAAAGTGTGTTGCGGTGTTACCCAGTGAAAATAAAGGTCCTGTTGACTCGGTAAAAAAATTGACCACTGTGTGGCCCCCTCAGGAACACCCCCCTTTCGACAAGTCATTTTTAAAATTGACTTTTGTTAAAGAAGCTGGTCTGGAAATTCTCAGCCGAACAGGGACTACAGCCAGTCAGAACTTTTTGTGTATTCTGACAGCGGCACATGCATTGGCAGGGCGCGATTCCCCCAGCCGTGCTGTTCAGTGTGGGTGGAGGAAGTGGCCTTTTTTTTCTCTTGTTCGGCCCACTGAGAAAAAAATGATCAGTGTATGGCCATCCTAATGCAGCCGACCGGCAAGGGTCAATATATAAAATGTTGCTTTTTGGATTCAGATGCACTTTAAAATATAAACAGTCATAGATCAGATTTATTACAATACGTTGATTTGTGTTCACATTTGTATCTATAAATAAGTAAAACTTTAGTTCGGCTTTAAGGTCAGGTTTGTGTGATATCTGAATTGGCTCCTGGTATAGTCTCCCCTTCCTGTTATCGGAGTCACACCTGCCTTACAGCCCTCGTATCTCTTCTCTGCCGCAGGCATCTCCTACATGATAACCTTGGAGCAGGCAGCTGCAGCCCGGATGAATATCGCTATGTGCTGGCCTATTACTTGCGAGGTAAGACTTTATCATTCAAGGTCTCTACACCTGTCAGATGTCATCTGGAACATCTTTACTTCGGCCTCCCTCACTACAGAGCAAACAGGAGGATCATGTTTAAATGAAGATTACCCATGTGTATTAATTAAGCTTTGGCTGTTAAGACAAAGACACGGAGCCTGAAATGTGTGGTGACTCTAAAAACCCCATCATACATCTGCCTATAGGTGTCATGCCTGTGGCTGCCAGAGTCTTGCAATGCCTCATGGGACTTGTAGTTGCACCACAGCTGGAGGGCCGGAGTTTGCCTACCCCTGTCTTAGAGGATTAGGTGCTGGCAGCAGAAATCAGGCTTGCAGTGTGGGGAAGAGGTCTTTAAAGAAGAAAGCTCCAGACGAGCATTAGGCCCCATGCACACCAGGGTGTATTGTGACCACACGTCAAATATGCACAAAAGTATGCACTTTCATGCGCGTTCAGGATACATGCACGAGCGCGCTTACGTTGCCATTACTAGGTAATGCCACCCCAAACGTGGCCAGGCAAACATGGTTTTTCTCCGTGTGTTTGTGCGCCTGATATCGTGCATGAACGCTTGGAAAAAAACCGCAGAACGCATGTCGGCAAAAAAACATGTCCCTGCTACGCCCTGGTATAAACGGGGCCTTAGGGATGAGCTCGGGTTTTGGTGAGCCCAGTCAGCTGCAGCCGTGGCATTCATCCTCCCTGCAGCCGCATGTAAACAATGGGGCAGGATGCTGGTGACATCACTGACCATATTTGGTTAAAGAAGAACTCCAGGAAATGTAAAAATGAATCCTTTCAATGGGGCTACGCACTCGTTTTGTTGTAGGGGCTAAAATAAAGGTGATATACTCGCCTGACCCTCGGTTCCGTTTGACTGCTAGACCAGTCATTGCAGCCTCTTCTTCCCCGTCTAAGGACTTGTGACGTCATCACGTCTAATGCAGCATGAGGATGTGGAGGGACATTCCATCACAGAGTGAAAGGGGGAAAGAGGTGAGTGCTCACCGCTGCAGTACAGAGGATTGGGTGAGTATATCATCCTTATTTCCCCCCCCTAGACCAAAGCGAGCAGTTAACCCTTGCAGTGCTTGCGGGAGCCCTACTGCCACAGTTAATTTTTACATTACCTGGCGTTCTTCTTTAGGGCTTGTTCACACCAGCAGCCGCTCTCAACCGCACGGCTGCTGGTGTGTGTGCCCGGACAGTGCTTATGTGCTTGCCGAACTGCATCAAACAAATGACATTTCATTATGTTCTATGGGCCTACCACAGTGCGATGCGGTAGTACTCCTTAATGGTATTGACCAATAGTAAGCATCACCCGTGTTACAACAATTCCTATACTCTTCAAATTGTTTGTTTTCGTTTTGGATAGAGTGGTCAAGGACTAGAACCCCTGACTGGTTTTACTGGTATCCAGAGCTCCGTTACAGATATTTCCCCATACTCTCTGTCCCAGTAAGAGAATGACACAGACAGCAATATTGGGGTTCTAACCTTCCCCTAATCTGTTGAAAACAGTTTTTATTTCCATGAGTGTTGCTGTTTGAGATTTCCTCTTCCTGTCCAGTGAAACTATTTCCCTGGGACAGTAATTCATCGGATTTCACTGCTTATTGATTATACACAATATAAAGGAGTAAAATTAATATTGGGTTATTGAACAGTCAACACTTTTCTCTTTGTCCTATGAAATGACTTCTGTATCTCACCGGCTCTGCTCTCTCTTTCAGAGGAAGTCACAACTGATAAACCTGCAGGTTCCTGTGCGAATGTAGTCCTTCAGAATACAGCATCCCCTGCAGCACGGGCACAGGGCGCTGCCAACGCCAAATCAGTCTCTTTGCTGCTCACCCGTACTCATATGTACATCCTAGAAGAGACTCATCAATGGCTTCACAATGCCCCACCTGCTGAGGAGGACGCGGATGAGGAGCCCGCGGATGAAGTGCAGATCAAGGAGAAGCAGCCCATCAGCAGCATCAGCTCTGTGCACTTGTACAGTTCTGCAGCACTGCATCTGCGCATCCAGCTTTATAATGAGGTACGGGGGCCACTGAGATCTGGGGCGCACAGCATTGACTCCTGAAATCAAAAGACATTCACATGTCACCATTCTAATGCAAAATTCTAAAGCAAACCTGTACTGAGAGAATTATGGCAGCTGCAATTTCTGACTTCCTGAGATACTAATTGCCTGACTGTCTCTGGCTCCGGTACTTCGAGTCACTGACCCAGAACAACCGTGCAGACTAGAAAGTCAGAACTAGTTATTAGGTGACTTGTTCAGTGATGCAGAAAAGCCGGGATAGGTCATCAGTGGCAGCCTACATATTTCCCCCCTTTCAGGATGCTTCATTTTCCAGCAGGAGAAAAGAGAGCCTTGATTTGGAGCTTACAGGATTGAGGATTCTCTCCCCATGTCTATGTGACCGCACTGGGTGCCTAAGTGGCCCATCGCCAAGCACCAATGCTTTCACATGCCCAGTGAGTATCGGGTATTTCACTTCACTCCTGGCATATGAACCAAGTGGCTGGGCAGCAAAGGATGAGAAGTATAGAATGCATATTCTACTACTTATTCTATGCCAGGGGTGCTAAACCTAATACATATAGGGGGTCTCAGCTGTGGCCCTTGACACCCCCAGGGGGCTGCTCATAATATTTAAGTATATACAGTGCTACAGAAGATTGTCAGAGAGTGCTGACATATTGCTGGAAATGGTCAGAGACTGTGGACAGGCTACAGGGGTGGTCAGAGACTGTGGACAGGCTACAGGGGTGGCCAGAGACTGTGGACAGGCTACAGGGGTGGCCAGAGACTGTGGACAGGCTACAGGGGTGGCCAGAGATTGGAAATATTCTGCGAAGACCGGGCCAATTTAAATGACACTGCTAGAGATCACAACCATTACAACCCCTATATAAATCAATTCTACCATTGGCTGCACAATAAGTATGGTGACCACTCGATCACTGTGCTGGGAGTGCCAAGTGAGCGAGCTGGGAGCAGATCAATGGACTCATATAAGCGGCAGCTCGGCATCCAAGGCTACCTCCATGGTGCTGCATATATGGGTGAGGGCGGAATTCAGAGGTTCA